CTGCTGTACGGCCCACCTGGATGCAGGGAGACTGGGATGTGCTGGGCTGCGGGAGGCCAGGCCTGAGGCCCTGAGAGTTTCCTGTGCTGGGTTCAACACTCAATAAACACTCCTGTGTGACACTGGCTGAGAGTCGCTCAGGTCTAGAGAACAGGGCAGGGGTGGGGGGGCATCGTCCCCTTCGGGGGTGGAGGCCCCGGGGGTCCAGTGCAAGTGGACTCCCTGGGGGGCCCATGGCGAGAAACAGGGGTGCTAAGGCTCAGAGAGGTGCGGCTCCAGGAGGTGGAGGGGCCTGACCCCGGGAGAGAGTGGACCCCCGAGAAGGGCTGTCTCACTGAAAGGGGCACCCCCCGCAGACCGCACGGGGCCAAGACTGGGCACGATCTGTGAGTCCGTGACACTCCCCCTTTGCCGTGTTGTGCGTGGATGCAAGCCCTATGAGTGCGCAAACCCCTCTGTGTGCATGCAAATCCCTTGCTGGGCGTGCAAATTCCTTTGCAATGTGCAGATCCCCTTGGGAGCCTGCAAATTCCACGTGAATGTGCAAGCAACTGGCTCTGTGTGCAACTCCCCTTCCTCCCAGAGCATGCAACTCCCTCAACCCTTCGTGGAGAGGTTGGGGGGCAACAGCCCTGTGCTGGGGGCAACCCCAGCTGCCCCCGATGTGCAGGGCGTGTAAGGGCGGCTCCTTGCCTGTCAGCATGTGTGTGTCCAACCCCGATGCGAGAGTGCAAAGCGCCTGGGGCCCCCGTGCCGATTCAGCCTCCCTCACAGGCTCCCCTGTGTGCAAGTTGCCCCCCGTGCATGTGCACAATCCGCTCTGAATGTGCAAAGTCCTCTGCCACACCATACGTACAGGTCCTCCCCACCCCGTTTGTACAGAGCCCCTTGCGCCTGGCTGTATACCTTCAGGTGTGCCAAGTACCCTGGGCACGTGGAAAGCAGATGGCAGGTGTGCCAATGCCCCCCAACCTGCCAAACGCCTTGGGTGTGCAAAGCCCCGCTGGGACTGTGCAAAAGTCCTTGTGCGAGTGCAAAGCCCCTTGTGCATGTGCAACACCCCTCCCCCCCGGTGTGTGCGTGACGCCCCTGCCAGCCAGCTGCTGCCTCTTACCTCCGGAGCATGGTGCCCGCGAGGCCCTGGCTCAGCGTGTGGGAGGAGACGCTCCCATTTCGCCCTGGCAGGTGTGGGGCGAGGGGTCCTGGCAGACGTCGGGTGCTGTTACCTGACACATCCCCTGCGTGTCTCTCCCCACCCCCCGCTCCAGGCAGGGGACGCGGCGTGGGGGGTGGGGGGACGCCAGACTGAGCAATGGAGGGTGACGGGAGCTGACAAGGCAGCGTCTGGGGGGAGGTTCAGAGACCCACGGGGGGGTCCCTCACCCCAGCGCTGCTGCCCCTCCCCTGCCCTCTATATCTCCTGGTCCCCTCCCTCCCCGCCCCACTCTCCTGGGTGCCCCATGGCTCTGCAAGACTTGCTGCACCGCCGGCCCCGCTCCCCGCCGCCTCCATGGCCCCTGCCACCCCCCTGCCTGGCGCCTGCTGGCACCCCCTGCCCCCTGCCCCACGGCACCACCACGCTGGCCTTCCGGCTGGCCCAGGGCGTGGTGGCAGCGGCTGACACCCGCTCGTCCTGCGGCACCTACGTGGCCTGCCCGGCCTCCCGCAAGGTGCTGCCCGTCCACGCCCGGCTGCTGGCCACCACCTCGGGGACCTCGGCTGACTGCGCCACATGGCTGCGGGCCCTGCGCTGCCAGCTGGCCCTGCGGCGCCAGGAGGACGGGCGGGAGCCAGGCGTGGCCGAGGCGGCGGCGCTGCTGGCAGGCGGGCTGCGGGCACAGCGGGGGCGCGGGCTCTGCGTGGCTGTGGCGCTCTGTGGCTGGGACCGAACCGGCCCCGGCCTCTGGTACGTCTACAGCGACGGCACCCGCCTGCCCCTGGACGTGGTGGCCGTGGGCTCCGGCTCGCCCTACGCCTACGGGCTGCTGGACGGGGCCTACCGCCCCGACATGCCGCCTGCCGCCGCCTACGCCCTGGCCCGCCGCGCTGTGGCCCATGCCACCCGCCGTGACGCCTACTCTGGGGGCTGCGTTGACGTCTTCCACGTGCGCCAGAGCGGCTGGGTCTGGGTGTCCCACAGCGACGTGGGGGAGCTGGGGGGCCTGGCCCGGGCCTTGGGGCCCACCGAGGAGGAGGAGGAGGAGGAGGGAGCAGAACAGACCAGTGTGGACCAGTATAAACCAGCAGGAACCAGCCTGGAGCGTCATTAGCCAGTCTATACCAGTATAAACCAGCATGGACCAGTACAAACGGACGGAGCATTATTCCTCTGCATGGACCAGGATCCACCAGCATAAAGCAGTTTAAACCAGTATAAACCAGCAGGGCACCATGACTACAGCAACCCTGCACCGGACCAGGACAACCCAGCTTGGACTCACACACACCAGCGTGCGCCTGAAGGAACCGGCTCAGACCTGCCTGAACCGCCGTGGACCAGTAACAACCGGCTGGGAGGGACCCCCGGCGCAGGCTGCTGGAACTGGTATCAACCGGGATGTGCCAGTAGATGACCAATAAATGCGGCTGTGGCTGGGCATTGCAGTGTCCGGGGGCTGAGACGTATGGGGGGGGGGGGGTTACATGTTTATCTCCCCAGCTGGCACCATCCCTCCATCCCCCCGCCCCACAGCGACCCCTGCAGGGCGAGGCTGGGACTGGAGTAACTGGGAGCCCCCTGCCCCACGCGCCCGGCTGCTGGGGGTTGTTATTCCAGCCACGCCCTGCGGCACGTCACTCCCATGATCTGAACTGGCGTCCGG